GATGAGTTATAAAGTGGTGGGTACGGATGTGTATGGCTGTGTTGATTCGGATGAAGTGGCGATCACGGTGATCCAGAGAGACCCGACCCATATCAGTGCAGGGGGAGAGATCTGTGAAGGAGAGACCTTCCGGCTTACCGCTTCCGGAGGTACGGGTTATACCTGGATGCCTGCAGAAAGCTTAAACAGCAGGTCTGTTGCAGATCCCATTGCCCGGCCGCGGCAGACAACCACTTACCGCGTTGCGATACAGCAGGGCCAGTGCTTTTCAGATACCTTATCGGCCACCGTTATTGTACATCCGCTGCCATCCATTAATGCAGGCAGCGACCGTAATATCGTAGCAGGCGGATCTATACCGATACAGACCACCGGTACCAATATCGCTACGTACGCCTGGACGCCTTCGGACGGACTGAGCTGTAATAACTGCGCCCAGCCCGTAGCGGCACCAACAAAAACAACCACTTACCGTGTAAACGTGGTGAGCGAGCATGGCTGTATATCCAGTGATGAAGTAACCGTTTTTGTTACCTGTGATGAAAAGCAGCTTTGGCTCCCCAATACCTTTACGCCGAATGGTGACGGACAGAACGACCGCTTCTACCCGCATGGTAAAGGCATTACCAGCGTAACCCGGTTCCGTATTTATAACCGTTGGGGCGAAGTGATCTATGATATGGCCAATATGCCAACCGATGATCCTAATTACGGATGGGACGGTACGTATAAAAACCAGCAGCTGAAGCCCGATGTATTTGTTTATTACATCACCGCGAAATGCAGTACCGGAGAGCCATTGGAAATAAAGGGAGACATCACCCTGGTCCGTTAAAAGAAACCTCATCCTCTGATCAATAAGAACTGATAACCAATAAAGTACTTGTGCGTATGAAAAAATGTTTAGCATTTGCAGTCGTTGGCCTTTGTCTTTTATCCTCCGTAATCAGCCGCGCGCAGGATATTCACTTCTCACAATTTTATGAGAATGCGATCTTCAGGAATCCGGCACTTACCGGGATCTTTAGCGGCGACTATAAAGCAGGTGTGAATTACCGTACGCAGTGGGGCAGTATCTCTAATCCGTTTCAGACGGTACTGGCATCGGTGGAGCAACGCATACTCATCAACGAGGAAACGAATGATTACCTGAGTTATGGTTTGTGCATTTCTTACGACCATGCAGGATCCATCAACTTCAACAGCCTGCAGGTATACCCGGCCATCAATTATAACAAGTCATTGGAAGATAATCACCATAGTTATTTGTCGGCGGGTTTCACGGGCGGTTTCATTCAGCGCTCGCTGGACCCTTCAAAAATGACGCTGGATAACCAGTACCAGAACGGTG